CTTTTTTATCATATAAATCTTGAGCAGTGAATTTAACATTGTTTTCATCCTCCATGACATAGACATTTCTACATCTAGTGTATTTCATCGTCGTTATGTCATCCTCCGATGTTAAACCTTGTGGAAAGTTAGGAGGTTTCCAATATAATGCATCCCCACCAGTTCCATCAACCGTTCCTTCAATATTTTCTATACCAACAGTTGCGAAGAAATCGTGTGTATGGTTCTTATCTGCCTTCTTTTCAAGGCTAACGTTTAAGTCTGTTATTTCAGAAGATGTATGTGTATGTCCAACGGCACTTTTCCTGTTTAAGGTTTCTTGTAAGTTTGTAATATTTGCAATGGTATGTGTATGTCCAACGTCACTTTTCCTGTTTAAGGTTTCTTGTAAGTTTGTAATATTTGCAATGGTATGTGTATGTCCAACGGCACTTTTCCTGTTTAAGGTTTCTTGTAAGTTTGTAATATTGCAATGGTATGTGTATGAGTCTTTTTAGAATATTCGTTTTCAGCTCTTGTCACTTCACTTGACATTTTATTGTCAACATATGTTTTGTCTGCTAGTTCAGGATGAGTATGTTTTTTTGTTGCATATGTTGCATCTGCTCTGTCATGTTTCTTCTTGAACTTTTTCAATGACATACTCTTTGTCAGCTTTGTTTCAACATCTGCTTTCAAAAGAAGTTCTTTTATAGGTTTCTCGTTTAAAGTTCCTTTTGTTGGATTTATACAGACAGTATGGTTCCTATTGTCTTGAAATAGAAACTCATCTGTCATTGGGTTTAATGTCAGTTTTAAGTTTCCTTCTTTCAATGACTCAGATATCTTAGAATAGTTTGAAAAGTTTGTTGTGTTCTTATTTAGAGCTTGTATAATGAGTTGTCGGTTGTGTTGTATTTCTCTCATAGACGCTGTTTCTTTCGACATTTTTATTCTAGATAAAATATGCTTTCAATAGAAAAAAAAATTCAAGAGTTGCTACAACTAAACCATTAGATGAACTTTTTACTAATGTCGGTCAAAAGTTTGAGACAGAGACCGTAAAGCATGAAGGCTATCGTTTTGACTACCCACTAAGATGGTTAAGAGACCCATCCGTCACAAAAGCTATTGGCTTTCGTAGAATGAAGTTCATTTCAGAAGCCATACATGGTTTCCCATTTACGGTCGGTTTTGAAGTTCGATACTATAACAAAGAAAAACGTGCGTATGAGAAATTTGTACAGGGAAAACTTTTACAAGTTAGTTTGCTTGTAAACTTAGAAACAACTCTTCAAGCTTTTCAAGAAAAAATAAACGATATCTATCTCGAATATGCAAAACAGTACAACATTGACGAAGGAGAGTACCATCTCGATATTATATATGACAGGAAAAATGCAACTGTTAAAATCAATAGAATAGAAGACCTTGGAGAAGACGTTTATATTTCTACAAAATATAACAACTTGGCATGGTATAGATTTTTGAGGATGTTAAATCAGCCTGCAGAATATCCAGTACACCCGAACTTTTATGAAGTCGAAAACCCTAATGGAACATATGAAAATGTTTTCGACCAAGATGCTATTATAGTTCATGCTTCATTTTCTGGTGCACAAAACTCTTTTTTATGCTTGGCAAATGACTTTTACGAAAAACCTACAAAGTTATACGAACCACCGAGTGGAAGTATTTCAGACTTTCAAGTATGGTTTACTACAGATGGAAGAAAGAGAATAATTCCATTATACCATGCGTTTTACTTAGAACTTAGTTTCATATACAACTACTATCGAAAGGTAAAAATATAATTTTTTAATACGGTTGAGGTGTTGGATTTGGTTGCCAACTAGACTGTGGTGCAGGTTCAGGCTGTTGTATAACAGGAGCTTGTTCTTCTGGTTCAGGGTCTTTAGGTATAATACCAACGAACTGACCTACTCTTTTACCAATATTTTTGACACCGTTCCAAATTCCTCTTCCGACAGATTTTATTCCATTCCATATACCTCTTCCAACATTTCGAAAGAAGTTTCCTATTCTTCCAAAGAAACCCATTTTACTATATGTAAAAATCTAATGTCCGCCTAGTCTTTTACGTTTCCTGTTGAGTTCCATAGCATTCTTTAACTGGAGCTCATACATTCTATTTCTCCTCTGGTAGAAAACATATTCCGGGTCAACTCCTGTGTTCGCGTCATCTGCATAGAGTTGTTTATATCCCACTTCAGGGTTTGTATAAAACTCTTTCCATCTCATATTTGCATACCATGGTGGCAAACCTAACGCAGCGTCATTTGACATGGCAGTTTGCATTTGTACATCTGTTGGCACTTGACCATAGTTTGCCATTGCAGTTTGTATTCTAACTTCATTTGGAATATTCTCTGGGTTTGGTTGTCCAGGTTGCTGTGCATTCGCTAAGTTCTGTGCGTCCATTTAATATTAGATAAAAATATCTCTTACGAGTACATATGCTGAACATTTGCAGGCATTGGTTCATCTTCATATTCTCTATATCTTTCTGCCACGTCAAATAAGTAAATGACACAATGGAAAAAACCTAAAACAAGTAGTCCTATTTCAAACCACATTTACTTACCAATAAAATTTCTTTGTTATGACACTTTCTCCGGTTTATAGGACCTCTCTCATATTCTATCTTGTCATATCTAAACTCATAGTCATGTATGTCCTCTAACCATCTCATAGCGGTTTCCAAACCACTTTTATCGGATGTAAAGTAAAAGCATGGATGGTTATATAAAACGTCTAAAGTTTCTAAAGAGTCTCTCAAAGTCCAGTCTACTTGGTATTGAAAATCCCATGTGTTATAGAACGGCGGGTCCACTATAAAGAAAACATTTTCCTTGTCTTTATATTTTTCATACAACTCTGTCCAATGACATCTCACAAACTCTATACCCTCAATATATTTTTCTATGTTCTTTTTGAAAACCTTTGTATAGTTAAGATATAAAACTTTTGACATAAGTGTTTCAATGTCATGAACTCTTATAGAACCACTATATAATAGTCTAGCAGATATACTATCCCAGTCTATATATTCTGCTTTTTTCAAAACCTCTCTTACAATATTTTTCTTATCTAATGGTATACTTTCCATCTTACCTATAGGTATCTTTTCTTTCAACTCACTCAATATTTTGTTAGTGTCTGGTATATGTTTGAGACGGTTCATATAGTTGTCGAAGTCATTGCATATAATCTTTGAGTCTGGGAATATTGTATGGCACAAATGGGATATATAGAAACTTCCACCGAACAAATCTACAAATGTTAGACCATTCGGTAGTTTCTTAAGTTCTCTCAATAGAATATCTTTACATCTACTCTTATTTCCAAAGAAGGGTAACGGTGGTTTTGTAAAATTCATTTATATATAATAATAAAAATGTTTTTTCCTGAAAAGTGACAGAAAAGTGACTGGGGCTAGAGGGCACGAAGTGCCTGGAAGCCCCACTACCTTTTTTTTTTTATATTTTATGAGTATTTCACTGATCATACATGGCAGATAAAACAGATTTCTAGCAATGATTATTTAATAGGAGCACTATTTCAAGATGTTCTTAATCCTTCCTCTGCCTTCCCTATATTTAAGGGAAGAGAGGCTACAGGTTTGCAAGCATTTGTTAAAATAGGTGATAATGAAATACCCATTAATAAACCTTATTATGACACAAAGAAACAAGTAGGTGATACAAATATATATCTTGTTACGAAATTGGAAGTTAAAGAAAATCGTTTAATATTCAAGTACACTTTCTCAAACGAGGATACTGATCCTAATGGTGATGGAATTAATTTTGAGTTTCTTAATTTATTTAGCTGCGGTTATCGCAATCCTGAACAAAAAAGCGAATGGAAACAAACAATAGAGCAGTTCGATGATAGAAAACTCTTTTATATATATACAAACATATGGGATCGTAGATTTAGAGGAGGTGCTGACACATTTATGGGTAGATTCATAATAGATTTGGATTCCAAGATTGGAGATTTTCAGCCATCGCACGTTTATATTGAATCAGCCCAAAATAAAGAATCCCTAACTTTAAGTCATAAATATCACGTAGATAGCCCTATTAAACATCAAGAAGAAGCATTATTTGCACCACAATGGTCATGGAGAGCTCGTGAAATATACCCAGGTGAAACTGTAGTTTATGGATTTCAATTTATACATAACAGGAATAGTATTTATATTGATGCTATCGAAAGAGATTTTGAAGTTAATAAAGGTGACCTTATTCACATTCCACTTTCATGCGACTTTTTAACACCAGGGAAGAAGTATTATTTATGGTACAGAACAGACACAAGTGATTTTCGTAAAGCAATAGTTCTTAATGGCGTGCCAGCGACAAAGGTGAAAGAAAATCTAACTTTCAGTTTCGAGCCACCTTTTAGAGCTGATATTTCAGATCCTATGCAATTTTACATAGCAATCCATGAAGAAGATACATATCTTCAATTCGAACCAAATATAAATCCAGGTCCAACTTCATATGGTCCTGATCAACTAAAATTCTCTGGCAATGTTTCAGTCAAAATAAAAGTTAAAGTTGCTCCAAAAATAACAGCTCCTACTCTTAGTACACCAGTAAGTTTCTATAGAGAATCAGGACATGGTACTTTATCAGATATAGCAATTGAAGGAGAAACACCATCTACACTTATAATATATGATGAAACACAAAATAAAGAGCTTAAGCGTATAGATATCCCCGATCTTTCAAGAACTAGCTACTCTAAAATCTTAGATCCTATCTCTATAGATATATCTGAATTAACTCATGGGACTCATAATGTTAAAATGACATTATATGAAAATGCAAATCCTTCGAATAATGCAACTCTCACGTTCCAGATCTATATTAAATTCAAAACAACTTTATCTAATTTTTCAGTAACTCCATTTGATCATACCATTAAAGGAACTCCGATTCAAATCAAAGGTAAAATCACAGACCTCGACCATGAAAATATAACAATCAATGCCAGGTTCGATAACAACGATCCAGCTACTACAACAGTTCAAATGGTTGGCAGTGAACCACAAGATTTCACTAAATATGCAAGTTCCAGAAAAAACCGCCTCAAAATATCAGATCACATTTTCTGCAGTTGGCAATGATAACATTCCAATTAATGACCTCGGTTCTATTGATTTCTGGATTGTTGACCCTCCATCAATAAGTATTGACGCACTAGAGAGAGATACATATGCCAACAATGAGATTGTCACACTTAATTATCATATAACAGATTCATCAAATAGTGGTGGAAATCTTACCTTTACAATTAAAGAAACACCAATTGTAATACCATACACTACAGACAAATATCAATCAAGCAAAACAATTAATGTTTCTGACTATGGATTAGAATATAGAGGTAGTCCGTATCATATTAAGGCTCATCTAATTAATGATTATCAAATAACTAATGAAGATTATACTACAGGGATAACAATTTCGATCAGAAACAAACCTGAAATAACAGATGTTGTTGCCAAGAAAGTTATATTAACAACAGAATCACAGACAATATTACTTAGATACAAAGATAAAGACAATGACAAGAAATTGAAATTTTACTATACAGTAAATGATGGAAATGATGCTACTGAGTTGAAACCGGCATCTGATCAAGAATCTAATGGAGGTGATGACCAAAGTATATCACTTCCACTTCCAGCATTTCCAAATCCAGGTAAATACAATTTAAAGTTCTATATTACATCAAGCAATGATTATTCTCATAAAGAAACAAATTCACATTCTGATGGTGAACCATTTGAAATTGAAAGCAAGAATCAACCAAATGTAAAGATATTTAAATTTGATCAACAAAGTTATAAGTATAACGATCAGGTTAATTTCATTTTTGAAGTTAAAGATAATACAAATGGAACTATATTTTATGATTTCGATGGAAATGTAGATCATATTGATTACACAATTATGCCAGAAAATAATGAAGCGCTTACTAAAAATGTCACAAAAACAATTACAATTGATAGGTCTAATATGAAATACAACAAAGGACACTCATATACTATTCAATTAATTAATGCAAGTGATATCAATCATATTGCTGCAAACTGCGAGCGTGCACAACAATCATTCCAAGTCAGAAATATACCATCAATTAAGTCTGTAAAAGTTCCACCATTAGTAACGAAAGATGGTGATAGTTAGTATACAAGTCTCGTGTATGGAGGCACTGCGTTCCTCCATACGCAATACTTGTGAATTTGACACTTTACAAAACCGTTAACGTATATTTTACAACACAAACACAAACACCAACTTAACCTTAAATATTTATAAAGCCGCCAACCACTTCACCTCACTACTGTAAAAAATAAACGTTCTCACTTACAAAAGTATTGCAACTCTTCCCATTGCTGTGCTTCACACAATAGTTCATATTCTTCAGTATCGCTGCTGTCGCTCCAATCGTCAGAGTCAAAGTCACTGTCAAAATAAATGTTAGTAAGTTTTGACAAAGCTAATGAAACACGCTTACCGTTTGTATCGTATGCTTGTATAAACTTTCCATTCTTCATTCCTTCATAAACGCTCAAACTAACTTTACCCTTTCTCCCTCGTATCTGATAGAATGTATTTTCACGAGGAACGAAGAACAAATTCTTGAACTCATGACCGTTGTAGTTTGTTATCTCAATAGTTTTCGTCATTTATATAAAAATAAAATAAAAATAAAATAAAAAATAAACTTAAAATTAATGATATCACCACCCTCACACGTATGAAAACATCCATTTAAATTTAGGTGAAGTGGTGAGATCTCACCTCTTTTTTCACCTGTTTTTTCACCCACTTGAATTCATTACTTTATAACTCTCTTCCTTTCTCCAACTCTTCTAACTTCTTCTTAAGTTCAGCAATGTTGTCCTCATGAAGTTTAATCTTTCTCAAAATTCCTTCTTTATCTAATGGTTGCTTTATCTTTCTAAACTGAACTCTACCATCTTTCATAGTATGAATGTAAAAACCTTCTGGAATAGTTCCTGATTTAAGGTATTCTACCAAAAACTTTTGTTTCATTGCTTCAGTGACTTTAGTCGTCATTTTACTCTAAGGTGAAGCTAGCACAGCGATAATGGATTTCATGACTTTTTAGTATTTCATGCAATCTTAACAGATAGCCTTACAAGTACTTCCAGTGTCCCTAGCTGTCCCTCCTTTTTATATAACTCCATGACATTTATAATCTCGCGAAACTTAACAGGTAGCATAACGGATTAAAATCAGATGAGGTTTTGAACCAAAATTTCTAAGCAACGTTGTCAAGGATTTTGAGGAACTAGGGACAGAGTGTGGCAAAGTCCAAGATTTAATTTATCTTCACCTGTTTCATCAACTATCTCATCTAATATGTCAATATTTTATTCATAACTCGTGGCAAACTCACTAACTTTCATTATTGTTCATCTGCATGCTTCATCTGATAGAAAGTATGACTTTCATTAATTCTGTGAGATAATGAAAACTACTAGGGACAGAGACCATGGCAAAGTTTATGACTTTCATTATTTCCAGAACTTAATGAAAACTACTAGGGACAGAGACCATGGCAAAGTTCATGACTTTCATTATTTCCAGAACTTAATGAAAACTACTAGGGACAGAGACCATGGCAAAGTTTATGATTTAATTTATTCTCTCACTAACAACAAACACAAACTCCAACACTAACATCAAGTACTAACTTCAGCACAAATGACAAACACTAACAACAAACACAAACTCCAACACTAACGACAAGTACTAACTTCAGCACAAATGACAAACACTAACAACAAACACAAACTCCAACACTAACGACAAAAATAAATGTCCTCACTTCTTAACAAAGTAATATGTGCTTCTTACACCACCATAGCTCAAACGTTTCTTTTCAAACATCGATTGAAACTTATTTTGAGCCATTGGCTTTAGTCTCTTTTTCTTCAAATACGCCAAGAAATCTTCTTCACATCTTTTCACTTCATAGCCTTCTTTAAACTCCTCCTTGTTAAGTTCTATGAAATCCTTTATCTCATTCTTTGTTGCAATGGCTTCTTCACGAACGACATCATGAACTATTTCATCACTGTTCTCATGTATGACCTCCTCACTGTTCTCATGAACTATTTCATCACTGTTCTCATGAACGACCTCCTTACTGTTCTCATGAACTATTTCATCACTGTTCTCATGTATGACCTCCTCACTGTTCTCATGAACTATTTCATCACTGTTCTCATGAACGACCTCCTTACTGTTCTCATGAACTATTTCATCACTGTTCTCATGTATGACCTCCTCACTGTTCTCATGAACTATTTCATCACTGTTCTCATGAACGACCTCCTTACTGTTCTCATGAACTATTTCATCACTGTTCTCATGTATGACCTCCTCACTGTTCTCATGAACTATTTCATCACTGTTCTCATGAACGACCTCCTTACTGTTCTCATGAACTATTTCATCACTGTTCTCATGTATGACCTCCTCACTGTTCTCATGAACTATTTCATCACTGTTCTCATGAACGACCTCCTTACTGTTCTCATGAACTATTTCATCACTGTTCTCATGTATGACCTCCTCATTGTTCTCATGAACTATTTCATCACTGTTCTCATGAACGACCTCCTTACTGTTCTCATGAACTATTTCATCACTGTTCTCATGTATGACCTCCTCACTGTCTTTCATAAGCGTTTCAAAGTCTCCTTTACTCATTACTTCAATCTCATGCTGTTCACAGTAGTACTTAAACTCACTGTATATGTCTTTGTTGTATGTTATATTGCTTCCCATGTACTCCATGAATTTTTCAATCACTTCCTCATAATTCACTGTTTCTTTCTTTCCACGACCTTCTAATATCATACTTGCTTCGTAAATATAACTTCTTGCAGAACCGTCTCGCTTTCTACTTCTTTTCACAAATTCTCTCATCTTGCCACCAAATACATTTGAACTACATGCAAAGAATTCATTGTCCTTCGCAAATTCTTTATATCTTCTGTAGCACTCTGTACAATTCCATCCGGATACAAACTTTTCATAGAACTCTCGTAAAACATTTGGTAAGGTGTTTTGTTCATTTCGATGAGTTCTTGTTTAGCCCTGGTGAATGGTATCTTCCTTACATCAAATTCACTTAAATCTTTCTTCATGAAGTACGTCAGTAAGTTTGAATAAAACTCTTCATTAAAGCTTTCAATGAGATTTGAGAAATATTCGTAATTTCCTTTGTATCTGCTGCTTACGTCAATGACAACAAATCTTCTGTCGTCTTTATCAATCTTTACTGAGTTGAAGTTGTTAGATATCATGATGATATTACAAACATTCTCTATCTTTCTTACTGGCTGACACTTCTGATTTAAGTCCAACTGAGTCTCTGTTACTATTGACTTTAGTGCGTCGTGGTTCATGACCTTAGACGTATCGCATGAGCTTAGTTCATTGCATACGACGAGCTTCATGTTCTCAATAGCAGCATTGAATCTACCAACCACATTCTCTATTGCCGTTATATTATTGTTGGCGTACTTGCTAATGAGCTCGCATAGAACATTACTAAGTACATTCTTACCAGTTCCTTGCTTTCCTATTAACAAAAGTACTGTTCCAGTCTTTCCACAAGGATTTTGAACGATGTAGGCGAACCAGTTCAAAACATACTCATAAAGCTCTTCATCCTCATTACATATGACATCGTGAACATGTTTCAAATATCCTTCAATAACGCTTTCATCTACTTCATTCAGTACCTCATACTCATATCCTCTGAAATAGCTGTAAATGTCATCTCTTTCGTCAAAGAATCTCATGCCTGACTTCATAAGATAGTTCTTGTTCTAACCCGCTTCATAAATCATCAGTGCGTTCACATCCTTCTCCTCAATACGTCCTACATAAACACTCTTCATGAGCTTATTGAATTCCTTGCTATCTATTGATACAAGTGTTGTTGTGTCTCGTATTCCATCATAATCTTTCACTAGATATGTCATACGTGCTCCGTCAATAACAACAACACATCTTCTTAAGTCATTTATAACACTAACTATGTCAATACCTTCTTCACTCATGTACTTATTTCTTCTCAAGTCCTTTAGTGTGAAAGTGTCTCTAAGTTCTATTTCAAGCAATTCATTTACACATCCTTTGCAATACTTCTCTATAAAATATTTCTGTCGTTCTTTACTAAGTTTCTTAACAGCTCTGAAGAACCATGTGTTTTGACTCAAACATCCTTCACAACTTCTCTCATTCATTCCTAGTTCTTTCATGTCATTATCTTCAACCTCTATGGTCTCATTGACTAAGGTCAAAGGGTTCTTAGTCATTGCTGGTCTTATCTGAAACAATGTTTGTGCAACAGGTTTAACTAGTTCAGCAACGTCCTTCCTTAATATGAATAGCTGTTTCCACTCATCTTTGCTAACAGTTCTTTCATAACCACTGACAGTAATGATTTCATTTGCTGACCTTAGACGCTTATGTTCTATCATTTGTATTGCTTTTGTGTAAGGCTTTCGTGAGCATAGGTTGTATATGTCATTCCTGCAATGTTCATTCATGCCAATAGTACTAAATCCTTTCTTTGCTGTTGAATGCATAATATCCATTAGTTCCTGTGTTCGTATTGCTGTCTCATAAAATACAACAAGACCTTTGTCATCTATGACGTACTTACCGAAAACATTGCTTATATTCTTTAACCATGAAATAACATCCTCATTCATGCTGTCAAACATGAAGTAAGGTCTTACATACTCTTCACTTATAAGATACTCCACAAAATACTTGTTAAGCTCTATGTCCTCGTGAGCGATTTCATTAGGTTTGATATTAGTTCCTTTTGTCATTGCTGTCATGTACTTCACTCTCATAGTTCCTTTCAATAGCGTAAAAGTACTTCATTGTTTCATAACTGCTCTAAATTCTGTTCAAAATTCGTACAACATAACTTTTAACATTAGTGAAAGAACATGAGCGAAACAACAACATCTAACATTACAGAAGAAGTCAATGACAATGCCGATGAAAACATTACAGAAGGAGCTAGTGAAAATATTGACGAGTTCAGTGAGGAAGAAGATATTGAGGACGCATTCTATTATTATACAGGTCTTAACTATCGAAAACTTCATATAAACTTTACAAAA